TTTCAGGGTCCATCAGTCGCCTGGGACGGAACCATCTAGGCGGTTCCGTCTCCCTGCGGCGAGGAGGCGCGGTCCGGAAGTCCATCCTTAGGAGCGAATGGTCTGACCATGACAAGGGCTCAACAACTATTTCCCCTACTGTCAGATCATTCTGCCACTGGCCAGAGACAAAAATTAGATCCAGCGTGTGTCCACCCGTGTGGGTGGGGGCATAAATTAATTGGGTCAAGTCCAAGGCCGTCATGGAAGCCAAGAACTCCTGAGCCGCCGCCGACATCTCGCCCACTGATGGCAGGTTGAAATCCCCCAAGACCATAAGTCTGGGGGTCCCCACCGCCACCCCGGCTATCACGTCAGCCAGCTCAGGCAGGGCTGTTGATACATAGCAGGGAGCCAGGTATATAATCAACAAGCCCACTTGCACCCGTTGCCCCCACTTCACGAAGAGTGACTCCACGCCGTCTATCTGAGGCACAGTGGTCTCCCTTGGGCATAGGCTCTCCCTTATAATGACCGCTACCCCTCCGCCCCTACCCCGGGTCCTTGGCCGATGGAATGCCTGAAAACCTGGTGGGCAGATGTCCACCAGTGGTAGTCCACCTTCTACGCCCAACCAGGTCTCAGTAATACCTGCCAGGTCCGCGCCCCCCTCTAAAATAAGATCTTGTATGAGGGGGGCCTTATTTACCACGGATGTTATAGCGATTGCATGAAATTGCTCCAGATAAATTAAGCAGAAGGCTAAAGAATCGAATAGATTTGGGGCCATAGATTAGTGGTTGATTATTTTCTTTCCACGGTCCTGGATTCAAATCCTCTGCACCTCTAGCTAAAAAAGAGGAATTACATATATAAGATCTTCCTTCGTTTGAATCTTGGAAAAAGTTGTTGGGCCACAGGACAAAACGTTTGGTTGGGCATATAGTCAGCAGCCTATATTTCTAAAAACGACTTGTGGGAATGTAACCAAGAAGACAGTTCACCACGGCAGCTGACTGGAATAAACCGCAACCTTGAGGACTAGAAGCTTGGAAACTGGACTTTTACTCGTTCTTTTTCACCTCCAGTATATAGAGAAAGTTGATCTGACTGACTTGGTCTCCCTGGATGAAGACAATTGTCCAAGAACTGTGAGTCCCATGTCTACAGAAAAACCAGGGTTGACTCTGAAGATGAGGAACCAGGAAGTGAAGTTGAGGGTAACGTATTTCTTTTCGTTACAAAGGGATTTTCCACCCATGAGCTGTCCTTGAAATATAAAAAAGTTGTGCACATGACTGTGATGTGATTAAGCAAGGTAAAGTATGCCGTAACTAAGGTGCAAAATCTTTCAAAATTATATAATCTTCTGATTTTTTTTTATTTTACTTTAAATCCGGGTCCGTATTTGTGTCCTGCTGGAAAAAGACCTGATTAATCTAGATCTGGGGTTTCCAAACTTGGCCACTTTAAGACTTTGTGAACTTCAACTCCCAAAATTCCTCAGTTAGCCGTGCTGGTTTGGGAATTCTGGGAATTGAAATCCACAAGTCTTACAGTGGCCAAGTTTGGAAACCCCTGATCTAGAAACTACCGTAAATTACAACAAAACAAAATTAATTCTAGAATTTTGGGGAGGCTCCATCGCTGGAAGGTCTTCAGCTAAGATTGGACATCCATTTTGTCTGAGATAGTCTGAGGAGTCCTGTATAGGCTGGGAGTTGAACTACTAGATAGGTCTCTTTATAACTCTATGGCTCTTAATTCCATGATCACCAAGGTGTTTTCCAACCGTGTGACTCTATGATTCCATGGCCTCCAGGGTTGCTTCCAAACCTGTGACTATGATTACAAGATGTCCAAGGTCCATTTCAATCCTGTGACTGTATGATTCCATGACCTTCAAGGTTGCATCCAACCCTATGACCCCATGATTCCACAACTACCTTTGCAACTCCATGATTCTATGATTTCCATGACCAATCCCTGTGACTCTATGATTCCACAACCACCCTTACAACCCCATTCCTCCATGATTCCATGACCTCCAAGGTCCCTTCCATCCCTGTGACTTTATGATTCCGCAACCACCCTTACAACCCCATTCCTCTATGATTCCATGACCTCCAAGGTCCCTTCCATCCCTGTGACTCTATGATTCCACCACCGCCCTTACAACCCCATTCCTCCATGATTCCATGACCTCCAAGGTCCCTTCCATCCCTGTGACTCTATAATTCCACCATCACCCTTACAACCCCATTCCTCCATGATTCCATGACATCCAGGGTCCTTTCCATCCCTGTGACTCTATGATTCCACAATTCTAAACTTTTCCTAATTCTTGCCTCACATGGACTTTGTTTTTCCTTTACAGATGGAAAGCGTGGAACAACAGGAAATGTGGAAAGGTTTTATACTTACAGTGGTGGAGGTAGGGGGTCATTTATTCTGTGCCAGCCTTCTTAAGCAATAAGCCATTTTGGAATGTCTTGCAAATTATTTATTTTAAATTGCAACCAGAGTGGCAGGGCGCCAACGCTTAAAATTGAACGAGAAGACAAACCTCCACGGGTCATAGGATCAAAATTTGGTCGCTTGGCACAAAAAGAAAGCTAGACTTAAAAAATTGGATTCTCTTTCTCTTCCTTTTTTTCTCTTTTTTTTGTTGACTGATAATGGAAGAGCTTAAAATTTTACTTAATGGGCCAAGGAGATCTTTAAAGATATTGATTGATTTAATATTTAGGACTTAGATTTATAAGGGAAATGAAAATTAGCTATTATATTATAGTTTTGAATTGCAAACGGAAGTTGGTTTGTGACAATAAAAGATATTTTATTAGTAAATGATGAGGTACTAGGATGAGAAATAGAATATACTTGTGAAATAAAGTAAGAATGTAATTAACTGAACCATATGTGTATTTTAGATATGATAACTATTTTGTAATGAAATAAGGAAAATTTGGGTTACCCGAAGTCTAAATATTATGGATATTGAAGGCTAAATTGGAACACGGTAATTGAAATTAGGTAAAACTTAAAAAACAGGACTTGGATATGTATAAGTAAAATTATATTGACAAATGTATTGATTGATTGAGCTACAATTACAAATGTATTAACTTGAATGTGATATAATAATGAAGGGAAATAGAGGGGGAACTTTTAATGACGCAATCTGAGATACGTACGAAAGACTTTGTTACTGGACTATTGATTACCCAATCACCACGCTGCTTCCTAAGCATTTGGATGTAAAATTGAAAAATTAGTAAAACTTGTTTGAAAAAAAAAAATTGGACGCTTGGGGACTGACTCACATTTCTAACGGTCGCAGCATCCCTGGGGGTCCTGTGTTCCCCTTTTGCGACATTCTGACAAGCAGAGTCAATGGGGGAAGCCAGATTCATTTAACTTAAAAAATCTCTAAACAACACAGGTTTTGGGCTTGATTGTGGTCATAAGCTGAGGACTACTTGCTAATCACGCGACTTTCCTTCGAAACTAACAAGCGTGAAGGTGATTTATAAATGTTTTCTAAAACAGGGCTTTTCAACCTTTTCACCCATTGTACCACTTTTAGGATATGGCAACATCTGAGTACCACCAGTCACCTAGCAAGGTGTCAAAAACTTGATGATCAAAAAAAAAAGGAAAAAAGTAATAAAGTTACAGGTAGTCCTCGACTTACAACAGTTCGCTTAGTGACTGTTCGAAGTTACAATGGCACTGAAAAAGTGCCCCCCAAGCCACAGCCGAGCAAGACACTTGCCTGCCCACCCGCCTCTTCCTTCTGTCCGAGGTTTTCATTGTGAGCATTTCTGTTGAGAATTGGCAGCGGGGGTGGGGTGGGGGGTGTTTGGTTTTTATTCCCCCCGTCTGCTGGGTGGTTGCAGCAGGTTTTGGTCACTTCACATGACCCTGGGACACTGTGACCGTCATAAATACGAATCAGTTGCCAAGCATCTGAATGTAAATCACAAGACCCTGAGATGCTGCAACATTCCAGCTGATCGGCGCTTCTTCAGGGCTCAGCAGAAGCGCCAGGATCAGCGCCGAGGTCCAGCTGGAAAGCGGCACTGATCCTGGCATTTCCACTGAGCCCTGGCAGCCCTGCAGCTCCAGCCGTCTCTCGCTCAGGCTTGTGTGGTGCTGCCACCGGTTCAGCTCATTCCCCTCCCCCACTACCCCTTTTCTAGGATGCTCGCGTACCACCTGCCAGGTGCCAATGTACCACAGGTGGTACCCGTACCACTGGTTGAAAAGCCTTGTTCTAAAACATACATTTTACGTTGGGCACCAGCTCAGCCTCTCTTCTGCTGTCCTTAGATGAAGATCCCGCCGTCTGTCTCTTTGCTGCCCGGACACCTGTACAGGTTGTCTGAAGCCTTGGAGAAGGAGAAAGAGAGGCGATCCAACTTGTATGCGAGTGTCGAAAGGGAAGAGAAACTGCCCAAGTGAGTAGGGTTTGCGCGCTGCTTGCTGTGCTTGTTTCCATCTGTTGTGATGAAAATCGGAAGTGGTTTTTACCGATTCCTTTCAAAAAAACCATTTACGTCATGAATGACATTACAGTCACTTCAAGCCAAGTTTGGTGTAGTGGTGAAGGGGCCAGCCTAGAAACCAGGAGACGGTGAGTTCTAGTTCCGGCTTTGGTGTGAAAGCTGGCTGGGTGACATTGGGCCATTCACCAGGAGATTGGGAGTTGTAGTCCCGCCTTAGGTGTGAAAGCCAGCTGGGTGACATTGGGCCATTCACCAGGAGACTGGGAGTTGTAGTCCCGCCTTAGGTGTGAAAGTCAGCTGGGTGACATTGGGCCATTCACCAGGAGACTGGGAGTTGTAGTCCCGCCTTAGGTGTGAAAGCCAACTGGGTGACATTGGGCCTTTCACCAGGAGACTGGGAGTTGTAGTCCCACCTTAGGTGTGAAAGCCGGCTGGGTGACATTGGGCCTTTCACCAGGAGACTGGGAGTTGTAGTCCCGCCTTAGGTGTGAAAGCCGGCTGGGTGACATTGGGCCTTTCACCAGGAGACTGGGAGTTATAGTCCCGCCTTAGGTGTGAAAGCCAACTGGGTGACATTGGGCCATTCACCAGGAGACTGGGAGTTGTAGTCCTGCCTTAGGTGTGAAAGCCGGCTGGGTGACATTGGGCCTTTCACCAGGAGACTGGGAGTTGTAGTCCCGCCTTAGGTGTGAAAGCCGGCTGGGTGACATTGGGCCATTCACCAGGAGACTGGGAGTTATAGTCCCGCCTTAGGCGTGAAAGCCAACTGGGTGACATTGGGCCATTCACCAGGAGACTGGGAGTTGTAGTCCCGCCTTAGGTGTGAAAGCCAACTGGGTGATTTTGGACCATGCACCAGGAGACTGGGAATTCTAGTTCCGCCTTTGGCGTGAAAGCTGTCTGGTGACGTTGGGCCAATCACCCAGGAGACTGAGAGTTCTAGTCCTGCCTTAGTTCTGAAAGCTGGGTGGGTGACTTTGGGCCAATCCATCTCACAGGATTGTTGTTATTGTAGGGAAAAAAGGAAGAGGAAGTTGGGTCTGTTTGCTACCTTGAGTTATTTATAAAATAATAAAGGCAGGATCAAAATCTAATAAATAAATAAATAAATATGAGAAGGAGCAGATAGGGGAGGTCTGGAGTTGAGTGCTTGCCATTGACCAACAATCTTGCAGTGTTGCACACTCTCAAGGTTCTGCTTTTTTTTTCTTCCTTTCTTTCTTTCTTTCCTTCTCTTTCTTTCTTTCTTTTCCTTCCTTCCTTCCTTCCTTCCTTCCTTCCTTTCTTTCTTTCTTTCTTTCTTTCTTCTTTCTTTCCTTTCTCTTTCCTGTCCTTTCTCTTTCTTTCTCTTTCTTTCTCTTTCCTTTCCTTCTTTCCTTCCTTCCTTTCCTTTCCTTTCCTCTCCTCTCCTCTCCTTTTCTCCATCTTCCATCCCATCCATCCATCCCTTCCCTCTTCCTTTCCTTCCCTCTTCCTTTCCTTTCTTTTCCTTTCTTTTCCTTTCCTTTCCTTTCCTTCTTTCCTTCCTTTCCTTTCCTCTCCTCTCTTCCTCTTCTCCATCTTCCATCCCGTCCCATCCCTTTCCTTTTCTTTCTCTTTCCATTTCCTTTCTCTTTCTCTTTCTCTCTTTTCTTTTCTTTCTCTCCCAGCTGTTTCTTCAGGGTCTCCAGACTGGAGGCAGTGGACCTTCTGGAGCAGAACGAAAATTATGGCAATATGTTGCTGCGTCCTGGACAAGATGGGAAGAGTTTCTCGTTGACCGTTCGGCAGAAGACGAACGGGTGAGTTAGCCAGACAAGGGCTCGGCTTACAAGGCGAGCCTTTCCTCCTTTCAAGATCCAGCGACAGGTAGTCCTCGACTTACGACCACGGTTGAGCCCCAAATTTCCGTTGCTCGGCGAGACAGTTGTTAAGGGAGCTTTGCCCCCTTTTACGACCTTTACGGCCACCGTTGTTAAGTGGAATCGCTGCAGCGGTTAAGTTAGCAACACGGTTGTTAAGTGAATCTGGCTTCCCCGTTGACTTTGTTTGTCAGAAGGTCGCAAAAGGGGAATCACGTGACTGCTTAAGGTAGACTGCGCTGGAAGACAGAGGCTCAACATACGTCACTTTTTTTTTCAGCGTTCTTGTAACTCCAGGCACTGAATGAACGTTTTGTAAGTCGAGAATGACCTGTATGGAAGTATTTTTTCCCTCCTCCCTTTTTTACACTGGAAAATTAGGGATATTTCCCTTCTGTGGGCTGAGAAACTTTTACACCCCACGTGCCCAGCATTTTTTTTCCTCCTGTTTCGCAGACCGTTGCAAATGGGCAGCGTCAAAGTTGACTTAATAAATACGAGTAAATAAATAAATCTGCTTTTTCCCCCCCGATTTGCATGAATGTTAGGAGTTCAAGCCTTGCATTGCCAAGCGTGTGTTTTGCCTTCTGACCTTGGAAATGATGAAACTCAGCAGAGGAGAGAATTTGAATTCCGTTTTATGTTCTTTACAGAGCCATAAGCATCAGGCACTATAAAATCAACGCTGTCGGTGGAGAATACATCATTGTTATGGAAAAGCCGGTAAGGGGGACTGGGAGAAAAGGTTGGGGGGGGGATTAAGGCAAACCAGGTTTTTAGAAGGAAGTGAGGGAAGAACAGACCTTGACCAGACAACTTTATCAAGTTATTCGTTTAAAATATATAATGTTTAAAATGGACAAGGTCCCCACGTTACCAGATCTCATGCAATTATAGATTATAGGTGGGTTTCTTTCTTTCTTTCTTTCTTTCTTTCTTTCTTTCTTTCTTTCTTTCTTTCTTTCTCTTTTTCTTTCTTTCTTTCTTTCTCTTCCTTCCTTCCCTCCCTTTTTCTTTCCTTCCTTTCCCTTCCTCTTCCTTCCTTCCTTCTTCTATTTCCATCCTCCTTTTCTTCCTCCCCTACTTCTCCTTCCTTCCTTCCTTCCTTCCTTCCTTCCTTCCTTCCTTCCTTCCTTCCTTCCTTCCTTCCTCCTTCTCTATTTCCATCCTTCCCTCTCTAATTCCTTCCTCCCCTCCTTCTCCTTCCTTCCTTCTTCTCTATTTCCATCCTTCCTTCCACCTTTCCTACTTTATTTTCTTCCTTCCCTCCTTCTCCTTCCTTCCTTTAATATTTTTCCTTCCTTCCTTCTCTATTTTCATCCTTCCTCCCATCCTTCCTACTTTATTTCCTTCCTTCCCTCCTTCTCCTTCCTTCCTTCCTTTAATATTTTTCCTTCCTTCCTCCTTCTCTATTTCCATCCTTCCTTCTCTAATTCCTTCCCTCCTTCTCCTTCCTTCCTTCTTCTGTAATTCCATCCTTCCTTCCACCTTTCCTACTTTATTTCCTTCCTTCCCTCCTTCTCCTTCCTTTCTTTAATATTTTTCCTTCCTTCCTTCCTTCCTTCCTTCCTTCCTTCCTTCCTTCCTTCCTTCTCTATTTCCTTCCTTCCCTGTTTCCTTCCTTCCTTCCTTCCTTCCTTCCTTCCTCAGCTCAAAACAGCTGAGAGTTTATAAATATCTGGAAATTCAACGGCAGCGCTGTGAGTTTTTCAGCCAGTTCCATAAACGCTTCCATCCCACCCTCTCCCCTTCCTCGCTTCTCTTCCTGCTCAGAATTACTGCTCTTCCCTCCTGGCCGTGCTGGACTTCTTCATCGCCAAGACCAACGGGGTCCTGGTGCCCCTAAGCGTGGAGAAGAGCTACGCCATGACGCTGGGTAGGCCTCCCCCATATCTGGAATCGTTTGGGGGCACTGGAGGTTGAAGGGATTACAGGGAATCCTCGACTTGCGACCGCAATGGGGTCCAAAATTTTGGTTGCTAAGCAAGGCAGTTGTTTTGCCCTGCGACCTTTCTTGCCCCGGTCGCTAAGCGAATCACTGCATTGTTAAGTGAGTCACGCGGTCGTTAAGTGAATTCCGCTTCCCCATTGACTTTGCTTCTAGAAAGGTCACACAAGGGGGTCACGTGATCTCTGCACACGGCGACCGTCATAAATACGAACCAGTTGCCAAGCGTCTGAATGTAAATCACATGACCAGGGGGAGGCTGCAACGGTCGTAAGTGTGAAAAAGGTCCTAAAAAGTCACTTTTTTCAGTGCCGTTGTAACGTCAAACGGTCACTAAACAAACGGCTGTAAGTCAAGGACTCTGTAGTCAAGTTGCCGTCAGAAGCACCCCCCCCCCAGCTTTTTACTAGGTCAGGGGTCTTCAACCTTGGCTCTTTTATGACTGGTGGACTTCAACTCCCAGAATTCCTGAGCCAGCCATGCTGAGGGGAAATGGAGAGGTTTCCAAGCTGAGCCATGTTGGCTCAGGAATTCTGGGAGTTGAAGTCCACAAGTCATAAAAGGGCCAAGTTTGAAGATCCCTGCTCTAAAGGTACAAACCAGTAGTTCCACCGTATGTAGAGTTGGTCTATAGCAGGGGTAGGCAACCTTGGCCCTTTTATGACTCATGGACTTCAACTCCCAGAATTCCTGAGCCAGCCATGCTGAGGGGAAAGGAAGAGGTTTCCAAGCTGAGCCATGCTGGCTCAGGAATTCTGGGAGTTGAAGTCCACGAGTCATCAAAGAGCCAAGGTTGCCTACCCTGATCTAGGTCTTGTTTCCTTTGCAGAGGTCATGGAGATGAATCAGGAAAGGGAGCAGAGGACCTCGGGGTCTGCCTTTGAGCCTGGTGACCCACCACCACCTTTTAAAGGTACTTCGATGCCAACCCCGAGGCTGAATTCTCACCTGGATCATGGAAGGCAGCTTCCATCCTTTCCATCCTTTACCTCCAACTTCAAATTTGCACACAAATGCTATGACACCTCCACAAATTTTTAGTTCTACACACAAACACACACACACACACACACA